CTTTTCTTTTCTGCCAGCCACTATTCACACTATTTGGGGGGATTTGGGGGTAATTTAGGGAAAAAAAATTTGATTTGACTCTTCCTTAATTTCAACTAAAAGGGAATATTGTAATCTAAAGTGGGACGGAAAGAGTATTTAAAAATTACATAATAAAAATTTATAAAAATCAAGAGAAATGATGATAGAATTTAGGATGGGGTATGGACAACTGCATTGGACAATAAGACACTTGGGTTGAACCACATTAAAAGATTGAATCCAATCGATTAGTTAGTTTAACTCAAGAGCTTATATACCGAATTATTTTATTCTTAGACTTCCGATGTGGGATGCACTCTAACAAATGATACAAATATTTTATTTTCTCAATGATAAATGAAAACATGTAAATAAATAAAAATCATCAAAAGATCATAGTAATAAAAAGATATAACATTTTGGACGAATGGAGTAGAATTTAAAAAAATACGATATAAATTTATGAAAAGAAGAGAGGCAATATGTTCTACACTTCCTATCTAAAAAATTCGTCTGGCGTCTCACCGTTTTTGTCTCGATACATGTGTCGTTCACAATTATTGTTATTTTATCTTACTTCTACATTATATATGAATAATATAATTAAACTTACATTTCTTAATTTTCGTCTCATTTCCTCGTGTCTCAAAAATAGGATGAAAGAAATATTTATCTTTCCTTAAATGATACTCCCATATGAACATTTCTTTTGGATAACTCATGAAAAGGAAAAACAAGAAATTACTTTAGGAACCAAGAGAGTATTGAATTGTGAAAATGATTTTTATCCAATTTTTAATTTTATATAAAAATATAGTAATACTCCATTATATAGATCTTAGGCTTTTCGTGGAAGCAACACTTATTATACAAAAAAAAAAAAAAAAAAAATCTTTTCATGGGTTGGCCTGAGCCTGACAGAGTATATATATATACACCATAACCAAACACTTCCCTTACCAATCATTCACATCCACATACAATTCAGAACCACTTTTAATTTATATATTTTTTTATTAAATTTTCCATTGGTGGAAATGGGCAATACTTTAAGGTGCTGTTTGGCATGCGTTCTTCCATTTGGAGCTCTAGATTTGATCCGCATAGTGCATTTGAACGGGCAAATCGAGGAAATTACGCACCCCGTCACCGCCGGCGAAGTGCTCGGCAACTACCCCAATCACGTCCTCACCAAGCCCGCCGCCGATCAGGGCGTGGTTCGCCGGATTCTCATCCTCTCTCCGTCGTCGGAGCTCAAGCGGGGCACCATCTACTTCCTGATCCCGGCGTCCTCCCTCCCCCAACAACATCAGAAAAAGAAGCACGCCGCCGCCGCCGCCGGACTGATATCTAGAAACAGAAAGGAATTGTCGTCCCGCCACAATGATGATGATGATAGTAGTAATAGTGGTAATGAGTCGTGGACGGAGAAGAAGAAGCCGTCGCCGTCACAACGACATCGCCGGAGCGGTAGGGTCGTCGGAGAATGGAGACCCCATCTTGCGAGCATTTCGGAAAATTAGTTAGCTAATTAGACAATTAGTTAACATTTTTATCCGGATTATGAAGTTAGATAGGAATGTGTGACAAATGTACGATTTGTTACTCTATTATAGCTATGCTTTTTTTTCCATTTAAGTTTTAATTAGAGTTTAAAATTTCATAAAGGAAGTTTAGAGTACAAAATTACTAGTAATATGAAGTAATTTTAATTAAAACCTAAAAATTAGCTAAAATGTGAAATATGATAACTACTCCGTAAAATATAAAGCATGAGCCTCATTTCCGATGATCCTTCCATACTTGATTGAACGGTCACTAAAAAAAAATTAGATTTTATTCACAAAATGGTGATAAAAAGTAAGACATGCATTCCATAAATTATTAAGTTAGAAAAATAGACTTGTATTGTCTGTCATTCAAGTGATGACACATTACTCGTATCATATAATTTAGACTAGTCATATTGGAGAATGCTAAAAAGGCACCACTTGTGCCTCCAAGCATGCCATCCATTAAATTTAATTTTTTTTTTAATTTTCTTTTTTGTCTTTTCGTCTCCCACCTTCTTCCTCAAAATTCCCAACCCGCCTTCTTCCCCAAAATTCCCAACCCGCCTTCTTCCCCAAAATTCCCAAATCTCCCTTCTCCAGCTTCAACCTCCACAAGCAATAGATTTCGAACAACTCCAATTGCACCTCCTTCTTCTCCATCGAGAGCATAGCAGCGCCGGCAACCCTACCCCTCGCCAGCCCACCCCTCCAGCTCCAGCGCCGGCAGGCCCACCCCTTTAGCTCCAGCGCCGGCAGCCTCACCCCTCCGAACAGGTACTGAGCCGGCACTCAAATTAATCATTAATGGAATTGTCTGTAAAAGATGAGATACTAAAGAATTGCAAAGAACAATATACTAGTATTGTAAATTTTACACCCCACCATAGCTAGCCACTTTTATGAGAGGATGGTGAAGTCATATTTTTGAGAGTATTTGAACTTCATATATGATTATTGTCTGTGAAAAAGAATTG